TTCTCTCACAGAACAGTGGTGATGAGATAACTGCAAGGTCACAATAAGAAGGCCCGTGTGGTAGTATCAAAGACCAAAAACAAACAAATACAAAACACAGAATGGGAGCCTGCAGGTGGCATGGTGGTTAAGGTGCTGGACTCTCACATGACCGACCATGGTTTGAGTCCCAGACACAGTGGATTGAAAAATCTCGCTGGGCATGTGTTCCCAAGAGAATGGATTAAGGACTGCAGCATGGCCATCTCCCCTGGTGGGAGGGGAGGGAGTGTGATTTTTCACTCTCTCTCTCTCCACATCCTATGGAAAACAAAACAAAACAAACCCTTAAAAATAAAAACAAAAAAAAACACAAAGTAAAATCCCTAAGATAGCAACTGCTCATAATCAAGATTATTCAATCTACTCTGCTGCTCCTCTGAGTAACCTACCAACTAATAAAAGCATTTATTTAAAAAATAAGTAAGGCAATTCCAACTCTTTTTTTCACTAAAGAACTCTGGTATAAGAACCATATGTGAAAAAAAAAAAAAAGAAAGAAAAAACCCATATGTATAACCAACCCACAACCCAGTCCATGTTGTTCACTAAACTTGAACATCAAGGATCAGATAATATCTGTTCAATTCTTTGGGTTAAGCTACCCATACTTTCTCTTGTGACCCAGGTGAGACACATGCATGTCTGTGTATTAATACTTAGTCATCAATTCTGAAGAGCTACTTGTGTGACGAGCACCGACCTTCACAAAATCTTACTTTCTACATCATTTATTTGCTATTTAGAATGAAGATGACACCCTGAATGAGCCCTACTCACTGGAAGGCAAACTATATCTGTGGAACTTGCTTTTTTCTGCCTTTCTGACGGGTCATTACAAGTATCTGTTTTCAAATTCCCCTCCTCGTTGGTGGGATGTGGTCACTGGGAAAAGAATGTGGGCATGAGGACCCCTTCGATCCCTTTTCCGATGAACTCACCACGGGGCTGTGTTTCCCCACCAATCGCTCAGCTTTTCCAAGCAACCTTCCTTGCTTTCTCTCCCTAACTCTCGTGAGGATTATGCTGGTCACCTCTTGTGTTTGTACAGAGGCAAGAGTCAGATACACAGGGACTTCACCAAGTTTGTGGAAAAAAAAAAAAAAGAATTTAAGTATGCATTTATTTTGGTGCAAAATCCCTTGACATCTATAGTTTTTCACAATGTGCATTCTTGAGGAACATTTTGGAGACCCCTTATAAAGCATGTAAGTGCGACAAAGACGCCCCGATCCCTAAGCGCCACCTGTTGTGAACGGACAACTTCACATATTACCTGCTCATCTCTCTAGGCCACTGATTCCTGTCTCCTTCATCAGTGTTCAGTGAAATACGATACATGCTATAGTTTCATTTTTATTTCGAGTGCTGGATTTAAGTACTCTGCAACATATTCGAGAGTGACAAGGAAACCCAGGGGTCCCACTGGTTGCAAGAGAGCGGTATACCCCAGGTCAGTTGATCGCTGTCATCCCAGCATTGGGCACGGAGTGCAGAACTCCCCACGTCCCACGAAGGATACCACGGCGTCACACTGTGTAACGTGATGACAGGAAAGGCTTCTAGATACGGCAGGGGGCACAGTAATTTCTGCCAGTGAACTTACTAGCTAAATCGTGGTCTCTGCAGCTCCAGACAGATTCTAGGGCTCACAGCATTGTTTTTAAAGTGTGAAACGGTATGGCGATGTCTTTTTTGGTTATTCAGTAGGTGAGAAACAGTGTTGGAAACACGCAGGAAAAGTGTGTAGGTAAAAAACAAACCCAACAGACATTCAGACAGCATTTCCCAGCTGGAAATGCTGGCTGGGAGAGTCTTGCACACAGGGCCAGGCAGTACTTCCCTTCCTGAAGCTATAGCCAGGCAGATGAGGTGAAAGCCATCTCCACATTGGAACAAAGGGAGTCTGTTAGGTGCCAGGATGAGTTTCCACACCGTGTGCTCTTGCAGGGAGGGGATAAACAGGGAAGGGGTGGTGGTGTGAGTAGCACTCACAGCTCAGGGCCATAGCGACTCACAGGCATTCCACGCCCACCACGGTGCAGGCGTCTTCAGCCAGTGGAAGCTGCTGTAAGCTCAGATATGTGCTTTTTGAACCAAGAGTGGATGACGCCAGCTCTGCTGGGCCCCACGTGACTGAGGTTAACACCACGTACACAAACAAAACAGGGTTCAGAGGAATGCATGGGCTTGCCATTTCGTTCACTTAAGTGCCGCCTCCAACTCTGATGGTTCTTAACCTGGTTCAAATGGGTCAGGAACAGCTACCGATGGTCCCAATTACCTTTTCATTTAATCCTTACTTGATGCATCAACCTTCAGATGGGTCACTAAAGAGTTATTTCAGATAAACAGAAAACAAGACCCACTATGCGCACACATACACTGAACAACCATTTAAAATTCAATGGTAAAGAACTTCTTGGGCCTTATCGGCTAGGCTTCCTTTTAAAAAAATCCATATACTGGGGACCAGCCAATGGCATAGTGGCTGGGAACCCCTTTAGGCAAACCCCGGTTTTGGGCCCAGCCC